GGCCTATCTATGGCCTTCCAAAAGTTGACGATTCTACATGTTTCGACGTTGAATATTATTTATGATTTTAACTTTATACACAAGTGCCAAAATACTATAATTATGGTATTGGGTTGCTTGGTAAAACATTATATGTGAAGCACAGAAGACATCCTCCATTAATTAAGCTTGGAAATACACCAAACATTGTATGACTGATGGTCACAGCATATCTGACGTACTGCTCATGTCATAATATCATGCATTTGTGTGTTGTTATAAATATAAAACTTTAAAGAAATGACTGTAGTTTAAACAAAGGGTTTTCTCTAGATCAGGCCTGATAAAGAAAAGGCCAAGCCTTAATTAAACAGTCATAATGAGGTAGATTTACAACAACTTGCCTTGTAGGTTATAATAGTTTGGGTTCTGGGTCATCCTCATGTACAGAAATGTCCAGGTCAGGTAGTCTACTGCATCTTGTTTGTTTTCTATTGTTTTGGTGACAATCTCAGCATTGAAATGATCATGAAGACAATGGTCCAGGTGACTCTGTAAAAAATCAGGACATGAAGATCCAAGTGAAAGTAAAAACAAAAGATATTGATTCAAGTGACTAAAAAATAGTGATACCAAAAATTCCGTGATACAAGTGACAAACAATGAAACACAGATGCAGGGAACTGCATAAATAATGCAGAGCAAATCCAGTTGACTCAAAGTTTTGCCTTTGTTGTATATTCTTGTGTTAATTATATTGTTTAATTCCATATATAACTTAACATTTAGGGACAACAAAGGACCTATTGGTCCACCTATGCTGTCCCATCCTCTAAATTAAAACTATTAAAAACAAAAACAAAAAAGAACTTCAAAGTTAGCCCCTATCATTCATATACTTATGAAGCTTTTTCTTAAACTCACTTAAGTTTACTGCCTCCAAAACATCCAAAGACAACCCATTTCAAAGGCCAACCACCTTGTTAGAAAAATGAAACTGTCTTAGCTGAAAATGAGTCCTACCCTGCCAAAACTTATATATGTGTCCCATAGTCCTACTATTCTCACAGTTAAGTATGACAAAGATAATGCACCAACACTATCAATTCCCTTAACAATCTTAAACATCTCAATCAGATTTCCTTTAACTCTTCTTTTTCAAGAGAAAACCATTTCAGATATCTTAACCTCTCCTCATATGACAACCCCTCCATCCCATGCACCATTCTAGTAGCCCTCCTATGAATGTCCTTCCAAAGGTAAGGAGCCAAAGACTAAACACAGTGCTCCAAATGTGGCCTAACCAGTGACCTACACAATGAAATTATAACCTCTTTAGACTTGTATTCAACAATTCTGTAGATACAACCTACAATCCTATTTACCCTACCACTAGCAACAGCATACTGCTTGGATGGTTTAAGAGACTGATCAACTATTACATCAAGATCTTTTTCTTTCATAACACAGTTAAGGTTATTCCCATCCAAAATATATTTATAATTCAAATTATGATAACCCACATTCATTATTTTGCATTTATTATAATTAAAACCCATCTGCCATTTATTCACCCATCTCACTAGATGATCTAAATCCTTTTGTAAAGAAACAGCATCCTCCTCACAGCTAATAACACCCAAGACCTTAATATCATCTGCAAATTTAAGTAATTTATTGACCATTCCTTCATCTATGTCATTGGTGCAAATCAAAAAGTGAAAAGGTCCTTATACTGAGCCCTGAGGTTTGACTGAACTCATTTATAACAACTCTCTGCTTTCTTCCATCCAGCCACTCTTTTATCCAATTAGCTAACTTATCCCCCACACCTATAGATACATTTTTTACAACCGTTTTATGTGGCACCTTGTCAAATACTTTCTGAAAATCCAGATACACTAAATCTACATCATTACTTTCATCTACATAAGCAGTAACCTTTCCAAAGAATGTCATAAGATTTGTAAGGCAAGATTTTCCCTTAGCTAAATTATGTTGACTATCCAATAAAATTCTAAACTTTGTGAAATGACTTTCCAAAATTTTTCCCACAACTGATGTAAGACTAATGGGCTTATAATTACTGGGACAATTTTCATTACCTCCCTTGAAAAAAAGGAGTTACATTGGCTAACTTCCAATCCTCTGGTACCTGCCCACCATTCAAGGACTTACAAAAATAATAGCAAGTGGCTCACATATCCTTAACCTCCACCAAAACCCTCGAGGAAATATTATCTTGCCCAGAAGACTTATCATTTTTTAAACTTCCCAATTTTTTCTAAACAAGCTCATAATTAATGTGATCATCTTGTTTGATGCTTACATCTACTAATTGTTCAAGATGAGGAACATTGCTTGAATCTTCATTAGTAAAAACTGAAGAGAAAGCAAAATTTATTAACCCAGCCATCTCATATTCATAAGATACAAGACTTCCTTTATCTTCCCTCAAATATTCTACCCACATCTTAACATTTTGTTTACCCTGTATGTTGTTAAAAAAATCCTTACTGTTAATTTTTACATTTTCAGCCAACTTTTTTTCATACTTACTTTTGGTTGTCTTAATTTCCCGTTTCACCAAATTTCTTGGTCTTCTAAACCTTCCATCATACCAGTCAATCTAAATTTCTTAAACTTGTGATGTTTTTATTTACTTTTATCTCATACCTTTTGTGACCCAATCTGGTTTTTACTTACAACCACCCTTTTCTTTCTATAAGGAATATGTTTATCTTGAATATTAAAAAATTTCCACATCTGATCAGTGTCTTCAAATAATTCAGATGCCCAATTCACATGAGATAATTCTTGTCACATTCCTTC